TTCCTTCTATAGGGGATATACAGAGCTATTTTTTTCCCAAAAAAATCCACTCTGAGGGATTCGCTCTGAGTCCTCCTGCTTTGTGGGTAGAGGTGAAACCAGGTCAGCAGCGCCCTCTGCTGTCCAGAGCTGGAACTGCGGGAGGCAGCGGCCTCTTCCCGGGGTAACATCCCTGGAATTCTGTCAGGGAACTTTATGGAAAGTGAACGCTGGAGCGCGTTGTGGCACTAGAGTTTGGGCCTGCCTAGATAATTGTGCTATCAATAATTTAAAATTAATCACGAAGCCACTACCGAGTGCCTTGCATCATAAATATTTTAGACACTTGCTTCAAAATTAAGATGTTTTACAATGCCAAAATGTAATGTCAGGCTCCATGAGAGATTTCAATTATACACCTCGGGACAAAGATGTGTGAATTTAAACTCAGACAAAAATCTACTTTTAATTGTGAACTAATGAGAAAGAGAGCTCTGCTGAAAGCTTCTACACTTGCATGGTAGTAATGTGCCTGAATTAATTTGCATAACTCATATGGACTATCAAGATCAGCTTTTGCTTATGATTAAACAGATTATCTGATGACATTTTAGGGATCAACAGATTATAGTCCTTAATCCAAAGATGTAAGTAACAATGAAATCTTATTATGCTTTAGAAAACAAACAATGCAGTCAGAGCTGATCTGAAAATGACTCAGAAATCTCTTAGTAGGGTCAAGGCTAARCACCTAAATTCTCCCCAGAAACACATGCAGATTCTGGTTGTSAGACTTCCCTCTCTGCAAGTACTCAGATGAAAGATTGAGGGAACCAATTTATGGCAGGTAGAGCACTCAAATTTTTTCGCAGTATTTTAAGGCAAAATCGAGTTTTATGTTTATTTATGCCACATACAGACCCTAACATTCATAACAGTTGCAATATAGCATAAGCCCAGTAGTTTATCTTTAATCTCCTTGCTTCAGCTTCCACTACCACAAGAAAAAGTATCCTTGTGCTCCTGCCAGCCTGCAGACTGCAGTGAAATTGGCTAAGCTCTAGCTGATCACATCTGAGTGTATTTTATCTGCTTTCAATAATATATGATATGCTAGCCCTTSCAGATACTGTATGGCAGATCATCCATATATTTACTTACAGAGGAAAGCCTGGATTTTAGTGCTTCCAGTGGAATAGAAATATTTGAGGGAAACATGATGTGATTGGAAAAGAAATGTCTCATTTCACTGAAAACAAATACTTCTGACTGCCTCGTGGTCTCCTTTACAAGGCATTACATAAGGTAAAGCAGGGTGGGACAGAGAGTAACTGAAGCACAAACAAGGAATAGCTGCTGGCCAGGCAGTGTTTGCCCAGTGTTGTGTCCTCTGCAGCAGCAATGAGTGCTGGTGTCAGGAGACCCTTGCAGATGTGACAGGTAAGCACTCAGGCACTAGATCAACGACTGGAAGTTTGCAACCAGCAGAAGACAAATGAATATCTCCACAGAAGGAGCAGATGTGCAGATGAGGAACAGAATGAACAGGCCAGGAAATGCCTGAAAATAGGATTTATGAAATACTGCATGAGCTGATTACGTGGAGCTGCTAGCGAATCAGCAAGGAGGGAGGTGATGCACGCAGTTGAGAGCACAGAACCAGAAAATTCATGACAGAAAATGACTTCAATTCTACTGCACGCTTTTCAGTATGCAATGCACAGTACTGAATAAAGCCCAGAATCAGAAGGGTATGAAGATGATGCTAAATATCTCCTTAGCCCTCCTCAAAAGCAGAGATCATGCTGAGCCACTAAAACTTCATTCTTTATTTCATCCAAGTAGTTGCTGAAAACATAGATGTCAATCTGATTATTATAAACACAATAAAATCCTGCACAGAATATCAACAGATATTGGGCATAGCTCTAACAGGAAAATTTTCATCCTAGGATTAAAAAAATCACTAAATCCTCAAGCTCTCTGAAGCAAAAGTCCAGACTACAGGAACTTCTTCTGTAATGTAGATAAATGCATCCATTAGACACTGGCCTGGTGCCATCAATCCAAATAGCAGTGAGATTTTCAGATAGAAAGGCCAGTACATTATCTCACTGTCACACACCATCCAAATTGATCAAATCAAGACAATTTCATTAATTTGCAAGAAMGGAGAAAGTTCCCAAAAGCTCTATCAATTAGAACAGTCTCATTTTCACAGTTCTGCTTCTCACATTCAAGCAAACTCACTGCAAGTGCTACTCCAAAAAAATAACTACCTTGCCAAAAAAAAAAACACCCAACCMCAAGCCAGCAGAACTGTGCTCCTAAGGGTACTAAAATCGGTAGTAATATTAGTGTTTATTTCWGTGGAAACAACACCAAGCATGAGCAGGTAAAATGTTTTGTTGCACATGATTTGACACTGGTAGCCCATCCATAACTGYATCATCTCAAATTGAATCATCCCCAATGAGAACAGGAAGTCTCCAAACAAAATGTAACCTCAGCTGAGTTCTTCTGCACTGACACTGGTGAAATAATTTTTCCATTAGTTTCCAGTGATTTGCATTACTGCTGGTTTGTCAGTGTTTATCCAACATTCCCAGCAGTAAGAAATACATACATATGGTTGAGAAATTAGAGACTACTTTAAAAGAGCATTCAAAAATATATTTACAATTTGCAAGACATATAGGCACCAAAGACTGAATTCTGCACTATGGCTACAAATTCAAGCCCAATCTAATGGCAGGTAAATGCAGGGTTATATTCAGAGACTCAATTTATTCAATAAGCTTAGGAATAACCATTTACATGTAATATTTTCTTTGTTTCCTTTWCTGTAAGGCATTTCACATTGAGAAGTCCTAATAAGAAGTCACTTTTACAACCAAAATCTTAATTTCAACCACAATGAACTGCTCTGTTTAAATAATAATACGTTTACATACATCAGTCACTCTTAGAATAATAAGAGGCCCTCAAGCATTRCAAAAGCTTTACCTCACCATCTGTGATTCTGTGATTTATGATTTCATAAATTGTTAAGTACAATTAGGAATACTCTCACAGTTATAAAACTGTCTCCTTTTATATCTTCATGATATCTTAYTGTTTCTTTATTCATTCTGCTKCTCRGAGATGGGAAAGCCCAGGCACATTCAAAAGACATTTTTGCTGGAAGAAAAYAGATTGCAAGAGCATCTTAAATTACCATGTTCTCTTAGATACTTTAACCAAGTACATGAGCCTTATATCCACATTTTCCTCAGAAAGGGTGCAGGCTTCAGAAAGATGTCGATGGTGAGAAAATAGGAAGGTTCCTATTAACAAAACAGCATCATATTGATAGGAAGRAAGTTGTGCCACTACTCAGGCTCCTTGCTGACATGTTTGCATTCATTCCTACAACTCATTCTTTTAAAATGAAAGCAATACAAACCTTAAATAAAAACCATATAAGCAGGTTGAGTGTGGCCCCTGAATTGTACTTATAGTATAGAAATACTAATATAATTAAAAATAAGTATTACATATTAAAGTACACATAATTACTGTGTAATATGAGRTAATATTCTGGATATATTGAAAAACTAGAATAGATTCCACTTAAATTCATCTGAAGAAAGGTTTGTGTCCTAGAAGACACTTAAAAAGTCTCATGGAGCTTTTAATGTTAAATCACAGAAGACAGACAGGCACTTTCCAAATACAGTATCTGTCCAGTTAATGATCACCTAAACACAAAGATGTTTCATCATATGATTACCCACACAGAAAATTTACATTTCCTAGGAACATCTACAGAATATAACTTGACAAAACAAGAATAAGCA